ACAACATTTAGAACTCGTTATGGTCATTATGAGTTCTTAGTTATGTCTTTTGGATTAACCAATGCCCCAGCAGTGTTTATGGATCTCATGAATCGTGTTTGCAAACCATACTTGGATAAATTCGTGATTGTATTTATCGATGATATATTGATATATTCACGAACCAAGGAAGAACATGGTCAACACCTGCAAATAATCTTGGAACTACTAAGAAAAGAAAAGTTGTACGCTAAATTCTCCAAATGTGAGTTTTGGATTAAAGAAGTACAATTTTTAGGTCATGTAGTTAGCAACGAATGAATTCATGTTGACCCATCCAAATTTGAAGCAATCGGGAATTGGGAAGCACCAAAGACGCCAACAGAGGTGCGTCAATTCCTAGGACTTGCTGGCTATTACCGTAGATTCGTAGAGAATTTATCCAAAATAGCCAAGCCACTTACAACACTAACCCATAAGAATACGAAGTTCAACTGGGAAGACAAACAAGAAGTTGCTTTTCAGAAACTGAAGCAAATGTTGTGTAGTGCACCAATCCTAACCCTTCCATATGGAACAGAAGATTTCGTTGTATACTGCGACGCATCAAATCAAGGATTGGGATGTCTGTTGATGCAAAGAGGAAAAGTTATCGCCAACGCATCACGACAACTTAAGATGCATGAGAATAATTACACTACCCATGATCTTGAATTGGGAGCTGTAATTTTTGCACTAAAAATTTGGAGACATTACTGATACGGTACCAAGTGTACTATTTTTACCGACCACAAGAGTCTCCAACACATCTTCGACCAAAAAGATCTTAATATGAGACAAAGAAGATGGGTTGAATTGTTGAATGATTACGAATGTGAGATTCGTTATCATCCCGGAAATGGAAATGTGGTAGCAGATGCCTTGAGCCGGAAAGAATATATTAAACCCCGACGGGTACGAGCATTAACTATAACTATCCATTCTAACTTTACCGCACAAATTAGAGAAGCTCAGCTTGAGGCTCTAAAAGAAGAAAACATCAAGAACGAAGCTTTGCGAGGAATGGAAAAGCAATTTATACGAAAAGATGACGAAAATACAATACTTTATGAACCGAGTTACGACGCCTAGGTTCGGTGAATTCAGGGACTTGGTCTTAGAAGAAGCCCACAAGTCTAGATATTCTATGCATCCAGGTCCTGACAAAATGTACTTAGATTTAAAAGTACATTGTTGGTGGCCAAACATGAAGGCAGAAATTGCTACTTATGTGAGCAAATGTTTGACTTGTTCGAGAGTAAAGGCAGAACATCAAAAGCCTTCAGGTTTACTTCAACAACCGGAAATACCTGAATGGAAATGGGAGCATATATCAATGGACTTCATCACTAAGTTACCTAAAACTCCTAGTGGGTCCGACACTATTTGGGTGATAAATCGATAGGTTGACTAAGTCCGCCCATTTCTTACCAATTAAGGAGAACGACAAGATGGAGAAGCTGACTAGAGTTTATCTTAAGGAAATTGTCAGATTGCATGGAGTTCCAAATTCTATTATTTCTGACCGTGATAGTAGATTCACTTCACGATTTTGGCAATCTCTACAAAAATCCTTAGGAACACGTCTACACATGAGTACAGCTTACCATCCACAGACTGATGGTCAGAGTGAGAGAACCATTCAGACTTTAGAAGATATGCTCCGAGCCTGTGTAATAGACTTTAGAAATGCGTGGGATACTCATTTACCGTTAATTGAGTTTTCCTACAACAATAGTCATCACACCAGCATCAAGGCTGCACCGTTTGAGGCTCTTTATGGACGAAAATGTCGTTCCCCAGTGTGTTGGGCAGAAGTTGGAGATACGCAGATGGCCATAGAACATACAGGCGATACCTTAAGTACTGGACCAGAAATAATCCACGAGACAACTGAAAAGATCGTGCAAATTAAGGATCGATTAAAGGCTGCACGTGATCGTCAAAAGAGCTATGCTGACGTAAGACGTAAGCCTTTAGAATTCCAAGTTCGAGATAAAGTAATGTTGAAGGTCTCTCCTTGGAAAGGTGTAATTCGATTCGGGAAACGAGGCACACTAAACCCACGATATATAGGACCTTTTGAAATTCTGGCAAGAATTGGTTCCGTCGCATACCAACTCAAGTTGGCTCAAGAACTAAGTAATGTGCATGATGTTTTTCACGTATCAAATTTCAAAAGATGTCTTTCCGATGACACTCTTGTTATACCTCTCGAAGAGATACAAGTCAATACGAAACTCAACTTTGTAGAAGAACCTGTTGAGATTATGGATCGAGAAGTCAAACGATTAAAGCAAAGTCATATTCCTATAGTGAAAGTTCGATGGAACTCTTTGCGAGGACCTGAATTTACTTGGGAACGTAAAGATCAGATGAAAGAAAAATACCCCCAACTCTTTTACGAAACCCCATCCATATGATAAATTTCGGGACGAAATTATTCTAACGGGGGGAGAATGTAACACTAGTCAAAATAGGTCAATAGACAATCACATGTGATTATGCCAATCATGTAATGTGATTATGTTAACCTAGTAATGTGGTAAGATTGTTATGTAGTTCATGATAAATTCTAATACAAATATGAACCTTCTTTATGGTACAACTCAAAGTATACGTCCATACGATTCCAAAAATATAGAGAATATTTGAATCTGACTTCGCATGAAGAAGTTATGATAAACCGAACACTATAAATCTCTATAATAAGAGGAATTTAAAATAGAGAATTGTAGTACTCGTAAATACCTACGTGTGGATATAAAGAACGTCAAAAAAGGAGTTCGTATGCAAAAGTTATGGCCTTCCGAAGATATCGTTGTCAGAAACCCTAATTTAACTGAACTCACGACGTGAGCATAAAAACTCACGACGTGAGGACTCAAACCGCCACATTTCGGATCTAGAAGGTGTGACGAGGCTGCGAGGGGATAAGATCCAAACTCACGACGTGAACAAGGAGTTTTTCACGACGTGAGGAGTCACATGGCCACCTTCCGAAGCTAGGGACGTAAATGGCAAGTCTACGGGATGAACATGCAAGACTCACGACGTGTGCCTTATGAATTTTTGAATTTTTAAGTGGTGAGGAAAATGAATCATGAAGAAGAAGAAGAGGGCATGAAGAAGAAACCAAATCTTGGTTGCGTGTTGCTTTAATAGATTATTTGTTTTTTTTTTTTCAAAACAGCAAATATCCAAGCGGAAGCCCCTTTTGTCTTTTAGAGCAAAGACTCGGGTCTCGAGCTCCTTTACAAGGCAAACCCTCAGCCTTTTTTTGGGAATTCCAAGGAAAATTCCGAACGAGTGGCCACGAATAGGAGTCAAACTCCCCACCTCTGCCCCTCAATGGGTATAAACCCTACACCTCTTCCCCAGCTAGGTTGGGCTTCATTGGTAACAGGTTATTTGTTAGTTTAGGGATTTAGAATGCCTAAAAAAAGATTAGTGACGATTTAAAACAGTAGATGAAAAAAACGCTGGCTGAGATAATATTTCCTAGATTTGCCCTCTCGTTCTCCTAGCCTTACGTGATTTCTTTCTCTCCTTGTGCCAGTCGCAATTTCTTCCACAACTCGTACCACCTCCGACATCTATGTTGGTTCCTCTCACCTCCGACCAACGCCTTGGTCGCCTAACCTAAGCTCCGGCCTCCTTCCAGCAGTAAGAAAAACCCCATCTTTTTCCTCCTTTTTTATTTTATTTTTTTCCAGGTATATATTTATTTTTTCGATTTTTCTGCCATGTATTATCTTAGATGTTGTCCTCGTCTTCATATCATCTACTTTGGAGCTGTATATGATTTTATGTACAAGTTTGAAGCATCAAAGTGTAATGGTTTGGTATGCACGTTAACTATTTGATAAAATGCCTGAACAAAATCAGATGAATTTCTTTGTTTGTGAAATCAGATTATGTATGTATATGTGAAATAAGATTATATATGAATTTCTTTGTTTTTTTTTTCTCCAAGTGGGGTAGAAATCTGAAGAATTTCCATGTTCTTCTCCATGTTGGTAGAAATCTTATGTATGTATGAAATCTGATCCATGTTGGTACTTCTTTATGCTTCTCTATGTTGGTACTTCTCCATGCTCATCCTTGTGACGGTGTTTTTCATGCTCATGCTTGTGACGATGTTTATGTGAAGGTTCTGATGGTGAAAGGGAATCCTCAAAGAGAAGAACAGTTTCATCATATTTTCCTAGATTGAAGATCTCTTGGTCATCAGCAAGAAGTTTGTGTTCATGTGCAGATTCTGGTTCAATAATGCTCGTAATATCACAACTCATTTATTAACTATGGACCTATGGCATCAAACTTGCAAATCTGAGATTTGCGATTAAATAAAATCTCTAATCGGTCGATTTCACTTTTAATTTTTCTTCTTGTTCATCCATGGTGCTCAATAGCGAACGATGGTAGTGGTTGAAGGATGTTCATGAACAGGAACACGATCATAGAACATGAATGAAACCTGAATATTATAAAATATTTATAATTTTGAGTTTATATAATTTTACAATAATAATAATATTAATAATAATTTAAAAACAATTAATTTATTTACCGAAAAATCCATGGATGATGTTTCACTGACATGTGTATTAGTCATAACAGAAGGGTAAACGGTCATTTTCAGAAATTAGCATAGTCAGATGCATAATCAAACAACATTGTTTCAGTTAGCGACAGATGCGTTTAACTTAGTCAGACCCTAACTCTGTCAAATCTGACTCGGTCAACAAGTATCAGATAGCCCCTTCAGAGATAAATGACACTTATAATGATATTGCTTCTAAATGATTAATCATAGTTATAGGAATATTGTTTCTAAAATGCTTGCCACTTCAGAGACAGAACAACCAACAACTATGTCTTTCAAATTCACAACACAAATCTTGCGACACATAGTTAAATTTCGCCCTCACATTTATAATAAAAAAAAAATTAAAAATGCATAATCGAATTTATAATAACTTTCATTTATTGGAGGGCTTTTTCTTGTGTTTAGTACAAACAACAATGCCAAAGCTTTATTTACGTGATATACATATACTTTTTCAACATACAACAATATTCAGTAGATCATAAGGTACATAGCTATGCATGAGAAATTTCAATGGTTTTAGAAACTTGTCAAGCCAATCACTCACTTCTTTAAGCATTCATGATGTCACTTCATGTCCAATTCCTGGTTCGATTATCACCTAAATTTCATTAACAGGAAATCCCATTATTACCTCATATACAACACAATATTACATCATATAACATTATCCTTTACTTTTTTTTACCAATGTAGACAATCTACTCAATTTATTACCCATAATAGTAACATACTAATAATCTCTGGGAGAAAGTACGTAGCTATTCCATGCAATTTGTTCATTTAGAAAAAGCAAGAAACATTGGTGAAAAGTCAAGAGTCAAAAGTCAACACCTTGAAACATTGGGCATCTTCGAAGGCTTTTTGTGTTTTTAATATGGTAACAACAATACCTTCGTTCATTTCACCATTTATAATCAACAAAGGGCGTGGTGCAATGAGTGGCACCGTATAAGGTGAGTCAAACTCAGATGCTAAACCAGGAGCTATTCTGTTCAAAACCTGGTCAAAATAGTAGCACAACAACAACAGTTAGACGCCAGCAGAATGCCACGTCAGCAACACATTTAGCAATCTTTATGGAACATACCTTTTCCACAACCTCTTTGTCAATGGCTTCCTTCCCTAAATCAATCCTTGCTACTGAAGAAAAAGAATATAAATGCACCATCACAAAATCATGCAAAAGAAATTATAATTTAGAAAGAGTGCATGTGCTAGCTATAGCTGTAAGATTTTTAAAACAAATATATATATATATATATATATATATATAGACACACACACACACATATTTTAAGAGAACTTTTAAACAATTTTTATAAATATATTTGAGGAAATAAATGAGAGAAATTTGTACAAATTTACAGTTCAAAGTCGTTAAACACCGATATATAACTTAACTTACATGTTTTATTAAACATAGAAATAATAACATATAAAAAGTAGAGATTTTATATTTCTTTTGTAAAGAAGTGTCATAATTACCTTCAAACACAGGCTTCATACTGTCAACTTGAGCTTCCCATTGATCATTATCTATGGCCCACCGAAAGCTCTACACATTCATATTAAGTTAGTAGGTTAGATTAAGTGTTAAATTAAGCCCATTAAGTCAAAAATAAACAATACCTGAACAGCATTTACGGGGACAGCAACTGAATAACGTGTGTCAGCAAAAGCAGCAAACCATGCACTCATTCCTGCATCACATATCATAAATGAGTTATGGAATTAAAGGCATAATAACTCATAACAAAAGAATATATATATATATATATATATATATATATATATATATATATATATATATATATACACACACACACACTCATGTTATTTCTAGATGATGTGTTTAATAAAATATTAAAATTCAAACTCCAAGCGAATTCCCAGTGATTCCTATCTTGGAATGGTCTATATCAGGTCTTTGGGTGGTTAGATAATCTGCCAACTTTATAAGGTCCCACACCTAAAACATAATAAATGTTAAACATTTGGGCATTAAAAGTATATAATGAATGTCATTTGAAAAATTCAAGAGTGAAGAAGTATAACCGTGTCATATATAAATGGCATTGTATCACCATTTTTCCATGATGAAACAAGAGCCTGGATCCAGAATATATGAAATTGAAGTTATATTTATGCTTTGAGATAATGAAAGATGATTAGTATATTATCCATTGTAGTGTCAAAAATCTACTCAACTACAGCAACGAAAAATTGGTTTCTATATGAATCACATTGCTATAATTGGATAGATTTTCTTCAATGTAGGATGCTATAATAAATAAATATATGAAAGTATGTTGTTATTTCTTATTTTCTTGCATTTAGCCCTATTCTTTTTTGGCATAAACCAAATAAAATTAAAGAAAAGTTTCGGTGCTCACATCTTGATAGGCGGTGGGGGTTTTGGCACGTTCTCCATGGTAACGAGAATCAATGGCAATTGCAATATATCCACGTGAAGCATAATCCTGAATTGAAAGGAAGAACTCGTTAGATCAAAGTCTTTTGTCAAATGAAGAAATGACCAGTCTACCCTTTGTTTGCATTTGAAGGATGTAGAAAAACAACAGCTGGTCTTTTCGATTGTGTGCTTTCTTTCATGCTCAAAATGAGGACAGGCAGTAGCCCTTGCTCTGATTCCTAATTTTAATAAAATAATAAGTTTCACATATTAAACTTTATGCATCATATATTGATATTACAAATTTGATCTTGTTTTCCATATTCCAAAGTATGTAGTTATTTTCTTAGATATCTTTTAAGCATCATATATTCATATTAAACTTTATCCGGTCAACATCCAATGAGAAAAAAGAAACATGGTCTAAGTTACCTCAGTGGTTAAGTAAAAGTGTTCTTCATTTAGCAGTTCCTCGGAGGTAGACATCATTGGTTTCCGGTAGGATTTCATTGCCTGATAGTGGTAAATAAGATAACTTCTAACAAAGATTAACAGAAAGCTAAAGCATCATATATTCATATTAAACTTTATCCGGTCAACATCCAATGAGACAAAAGAAACATGGTCTAAGTTACCTCAGTGGTTAAGTAAAAGTTTTCTTCATTTAGCAGTTCCTCGGAGGTAGACCGGCTCATTGGTTTCCGGTAGGATCTCATTGCCTGATAGTGTTAAATAAGATAACTTCTAACAAAGATTAACAGAAAGGTAAAGTATATGTCAAGTAATATCCACCTTAAAGTCCACCAATTCAGTAGGATTTGTCTGAAATAAGGGATGCTCCACGGGCTTTGCAGGTAGTGTCAGAAGTGGAACTGAAAACAAAAATTAGCAGAAATATAATATGAATCCAGATTTTGACAAATAAAGAGATGAACTCATATTTCAATGAAATTATTGATAAACATAATCGTGGTTGGATAAGAGTGATAACAGTAGTTATTGATGATAAAAGTTAAACTTAATTCCTCTCATAACAAGACAATGAGAGATAAAGAACAAAGTTTGGTGTTGTTTTTTTACCTAATGGGGTCATGACTTAATCTGGTAAGCCAGTTATGTTTCTTACTAGATTGAGGAAACTGTTGATATTCATAAACAAATTTAGATACATAAAACGCATGCACAAAAGTTAACTCGGATCTCCATAGCCACTATCTTAGCTCAAAAGAAATCTACTACGACTAGCTGTCTAGCAGCAATGTCTATCCCATCGCCACTATCTTAGCTCAAAAGTTTGTAGAGATTGTCCTCACTGCTGTCCTCTTCTTGAAGGTGCTCATAATGAAGTTCAAGTGATGGGCTGTATATGAGGATATCGTCGAAGAATACCAAGACCAAATGAAGAGTAACCGCGTTGATGGCACGAAAGTCCACACAAAAACCCCATGTACCATCTTTTTTTCAAACGAGAAGCACTGGTGAAGAGAATGGACATTGGCTAGGTTGTATGACACTGCCAGTAAGCATCTGGTCTGAGTTTGTAAGGCTAGAGGGAGTGGGCGCGACTGAGGCCGCACTCCCCTTGCCACATAAGCACAAACACCACCCCATGGGTGCGGTAGAGGGTGCAGTGCGGCATTCCAAGGGAGCACTCCTTCAAACAACATGATTGGTTCCTTTTTCTTACCTCCCTCTGATTGGTCCCTTTTATTTACTAAAATAAATAAATAAAAAAATACCCAAGTGTGGCACCACTCCTTGGGTGTGGTATGAAACCACACTTTTGTGGTAATGGGTGAGGTGGCGCCTACGTGTCATTACGGTTTCATGAGGGAGTGCGGCACCACTCCCTCCATTGGGTGTCACTAATACCATTGGAATCATCATTGTCGGATATTAATAAGAATTCAGATCGGTGTTTTTGTAATGCATCGGGAGATAAACGGGTGAAGGGTAATTCCGGGTTTGGTTTGGGTTGGGGTTGTAGTAGCGGTGGGTTGGATGAGTTTGTGACAGTGGAGGTGCAGTGGGGTCATAGACTCAGTCAACTTTCAAGAGTTGCTCCTTTAATCCCTAAAATGGATGGGTATTTTGATTGTTCTTTTGGGCCTGGTTGCAGCTTTTGGAGTAGCAAGGTGAACCCCATTGTTGTTGGGTTGGGCTACGACAATATCATTAATGGTGGTACTTCATCGAATAGCCGATTCTATGGTGATTCATGATGGGGATTTGATTTTTGATATCTCTAACGAACATCGATCAATGGAGATTAATAGTTTGTTGTTCTTCATGATTGCATCTTCCTTTCTAATAAAGGTGAAAATTTCATACATACCTTTTGTTTTTGGTAAACATATTGTTCAACTTTGGCCTATTAAACATATGTTCTACAAAATCCATCCACACATTAACTCAAAATTGGTGTAAAACCAAAACAAGAGATGATTGCATCAAAAAACTTGATTATTGATTCCTACCCTAATGTGGAAGTACCAAGATCATTAAGCATAAGAATTAGATAATGGACCGTAAAAAATGGTTAAAGTTCATCCCTGAATACTGTAACAAAATGATTAAAGTGTAAATGCAAATAAACCATCATATGCTTTTTATCAAAAAATCTCCAATTTTACAAACTGTAATGTTTATTTCTTGTATTTATGCAAGAACCTTTGTTTGTAACAAAAATTAAATTATATTTTTCGTTTATTCTTCTATAAATAAAAATCTTGAGTGTAGGGCATGATTACAGCGAGTGTTCGCATGACTTGGGACTCCCTTACATAGGTCTTATGTTCAGTATGTGCTGTTGTCGATGATAGTAAGGTGTTGCTGCTTTCTTAGAATCAGTACCCAAAAAAAAGGCGCTACCAAGCTGCGCTACATCCCTTTCAGGGGGGACATACTGGACGTAACCACGGTCGCAGGTTCAAGTCCTGCTATACCCAAACCTAACTTGCACTATACTATGAGTAAGGATGCGTAGTAGCGCAAAGAGCACTCTTTGGCCTTTAGATTAGAGGCGCTTCGCCGTCTTTGAAGCACCTAGCTCCTTAACCTTCCTCGTGCCCTAGCCAGTGATGAATCCCCAGGAAGAGAGGACCAGAAGGATGCACATATTGCTATGAAAGTGCGATCCACAAACGGACGCATGGGACTATGCCTTCCCCTTACCGCACCGCAGGCGGACGCGCGGCACCCTCCATGGACCTTGTATGTCTTAGGACTTGGCGGGCATTCTTTCCAGCCTGACTCAAATACAAATAGGAGGTGGGTTTGTTTGGTCGTTCTCTGCTGCATTGGTGTTTTCACTCCCCACTGAGGGTCTCTCCTGTCCGGCTCGATATGAACAAGGTAGGCTGGTGTCAGGTTATTGAAGGTTTATGGCTGGTTTGTACCAGTAGCGCTATTTCAAGGTACATACTTTGTTTTGATGTGTTCTTTTTTGAAATTGTATTAAAGTAAACATTTTTAATTCTTTTTTTTTTTTTTGTATAGAAGAGGATGTAACTGAACCTGCATTTGATGATATTACACCTCGAAACAACTTTTTGTAGATATTTCGATCAAGGTATGGATGTCAGATGAAGTAATCTTCTAGTTTAAACAACTTTTTGTAACTTAAATAGAGAAACTTATAATATTATATACCTATTAATTAGAATTATGACGAAAAAAATATTTTGAAACCAAGTGGCGGCCCAGCCAAATAAAGTTTGAACTGAAGAAACAAAACTCATATACAAATTTACACCGTCTTAGTTTTTTTGTTTACTAGATTGAGGAAATTGTCGATATTCATAAACATATCTAGATACATAAAACGCACAGAATTAAGCTCGGATCTCCATAGCCACTATTTTAGCAAAAAAGAAATCTTATACTATTACTGGCAATCTAGCTGCAATGTCTATCCTAGAACAACTCCTTATTTTTGTATATTGCATCGTATGAGAGTAGAGGAGAGCACGATATGAGCCCAAATATTCGCAACAAATCAACATCAAAATTGACCAAATCTATGAAAGAAGCTTACTTGGACGACAACCGCGACTAAGAAGAACTTCAAGGTATTGTGAACGGAGGTTGGCTGCTGATTCGACGGGCTCCATCTTCTCAAAATTTCGACGAGCAATGGTGACATGAACACGTTGAGATAATATGTTGTGTTTATATTTATAGTAGAGTAATTGCGATATGGGAGTAGGTGAGAGTGATGGAACACCTCGAATATGTGGTGGTTGTATTTGTACCTAATAGAGTGTGAATAGAGAGAACAAATTACTGAAATGGTCCCTATTGTTTGCAAAAATTTCACGTTTGATTCCTATGTTTTCTTTTGCACTTGGGCGGTCCCTAAGTATTGATTTTATTGTGTTTTTCATCCCTCATAGAGCTAAAAAAGACTATATTGCCCTTTATCATTAAATTTTTTTCATTTTTTATATTATTAGTTTGTTATTAAATAATATAAATTATTAAATAAACTTGAAATTGGACCCACCCAAAACCCTACACCCCTGATGTCCTCTCTCGTTTCGGTTCATCTGCATTGCAAACCATCGGCCACTGTCGAAAAACACCAAACACTACCAGAAAACACCACCAGATGTCATCATCGTAAAACACCAGACGCACGAGGAAACCACAAGACACCACCGATCTAAACTCTAAATCGGAAAAAACCAGACGCACGAGGAAACCACAAGACACCACTGATCTAAACTCTAAATATACTGATTTGCTCCATCAACCACCGATCTTCATCACCGGACGCCACTAGAAGCATCCTGCAACCAACATTTGTCATTGTTCGAAGGAGATTTGAAGTAGTGAGGGATGGAGATCTGGTTCATGAGTCACTTCTCTTCTTCTCGACGCCCCCATCCGGACATCATACCATCGATTGCATATGCTCCCTCCTCGCTCTTCCCTCTTCGCGATTGACTGCATCTGTCCTTCCTCGCTCATGCTCTCCGCTATCAGTTTTGTAAAGGGTTTAGGGGTAGTGGTGGTTCACTTTACTTGTCTTCCTCCTTTCTTGTCACTATGGCGGGGTTAGCTTCATGACACCGTAGTGGATCCCGGTGGTCATTGTTTCATGGTACTGTGACGGTGGTGGCTTCATGGCGATGATGGCAGGAGATCTAGAAGCTTTTGGTGTTTAGTAGCAGTTTTCAGGAAACGAAGGGAGAGATGTTTTCGAGGGAGGAGGTGTTTTCGGAAAGATAAGAGACAAAGATGGTGGTGGTGCTGATTGTTTCTTATTTGTCTGATGAAGCTTCCTCCGGTGGGAGGGATTCAGAAGCGGCGGTGAATTAAAATGAGAAAGAAGTACATGAGAAGTGTGTGGTGTAGGGTTTTGGGTGGGTTCCATTTTAAGGTTATTTAATAATTTATATTTATTAATAATAAACAAATGATAATAAAAAAAACTAAATAAGATAATGTCTACTAGGGGATGAAAAACACAATAAAAAACAAAACCTAGGGACCATTCGAGTGTGAACAAAAACATAAGGACCAAATGTGAAACTTTTGCAAACCACATGGACCATTTAATAGTTTGTACTTTAGGATATGCATCGAGCAAATTATGAAAATTGTTTGTTTCATTTGGGATATGCATTATGTAAATTAAAAAATTGTTTGTTTCATTTAGGATATGCATCAAGTAAATTACGAAAATTGTTTTTTTCTTTTAGGATATGCATGGAGTAAATTACAAAATTGTTTATTTCATTTAGGATATGCATCGAGTAAATTACGAAAACCCTTTGTTTCATTTAGGATATGCATTATGTAAATAACGAAAATTGTTTGTTTCATTTAGGATATGCATTATGTAATTTACAAAAAATCATTTGTTTCATTTAGGATATGTGTCGGGTTAATTACGAAAACCGTTTGCTTAATTTAGGATATGCACCGAGTAAATTACAAAAATTGTTTGTTTCATTTAGGATATACAATATGTAAATTACGAAAATTGTTTGTTTCATTTAGCATATACATCTAGTAAATTACGAAAATCGTTTGTTTCATTAGGATATGCATTATGTAAATTACGAAAATTGTTTGTTTCATTTAGGATATGCATTATGTAAATTACGAAAATTGTTTGTTCCATTTAGGATATGCATTATGTAAATTACGAAAATCATTTATTTCATTTAGGATATGCATCGAGTAAATTACGAAAATCGTTTGTTTCATTTAGGATATGCATCGAGTAAATTGCAAAAATTATTTGTTTCATTTAGGATATACATTATGTAAATTATGAAAATCGTTTGTTCCATTTAGGATATGCATTGAGTATATTACAAAAATCGTTTTTTTCATTTAGTATATTTTGTTTTGATGTGTGTGTTTTTTGAAATTGTATTAAAGTTAATATTTTTACTTTTTTTGTATAGAAATCGAGAATGTAACTGAACCTGCATTTGATGATATTACACCTTCAGATCGATTTCTGAGGGGATGAAGGTGAGGCAATATATATCAAACTGGGTTAATGTTATTGTAAAGTAAGTGCTTCACATTTTCAGCCCTAATTTCATGCAGTAATGTTTATGCTGATGCAGGTCACTGCTATAAGAAAACAAACAACATTGGTTTTATCTTTTCAACTTCCATATACTAGTATGATATTGCTTTACTCATAAACCATATGTATTTGGCACCCATTCTTTATGTTTATGTTTTTGTAAATATAAATAATCACATGAAATCTTTTCTTCTTTGTCCTACTAATTTGAATGCAACTTCTATCAGAATTTAAAGAAATCTATTTTCATACTAATTTAAAGAAGTCTATTTTCATACTGTTGCAAACTTAGCAGAGTGCATAAAACACGTAGAGCAATCATTAGATATATTCATGGAATTTGGGAGGCTCGCCACTTTAAGTGAATGCAAGTGTTAAAGTGGTAGTCGATAGACGTATTGACTTATTTCTTGTGTATTTTACATTCTATTACGAGATGAGTTACATGAAGATAAAATGTATGACTTTTATACACTTCAAGTTGCACATGTGATATATAGTTGTAAATTTGGAATGCATGAGTATCAATCTTTTTGTAGATATTTCGATGAAGGTATGGATGTCAGATGAAGTTTTTTCTACATGCACCCTTCTAGTTTAAACAACTTTATATAACGTAAATAGAGAGACTTATAATATTATATACCTATTAATTAGAATTATGAAGAAAGAAATATAATTTTTGAAACCAAGTGGCAGCCCAACCAAATAAAGTTTGAATTGAAGAAGAAAAACTCATATACAAACTCCATGTATTAAAACACTAGATGTCATTGGAAAACACCAAACACTACCGGAAACCACCAGATGTCACCGGAAAACACCTGACGCCACCGGAAACCACCAAACGCCAGGATACTACAAGACACCACCGATCTAAAAACACCAGGGTTCCATATGGTATTTTCATCTACAAGCAGATGAAAAACGCAATAAAACCAAAACCTAGGGACCGACCGAGTGCAAATGAAAACATAAGGACCAAACGTTAAATTTTTGTAAACCATAGGGGCCAATTTTGTAATTTCTTCTTTCGGATATGCATTGAGTAATTACGAAAAAACATTTCTTTCATTTAGGACATGCATAATGTAAATTAGGAAAAACGTTTGTTTCATTTACGATATGCATCGAGTTAACTACGTAAATCGTTTGTGAGGCAAACAGTAAACTCTAAAGTCGAAACCAAACATTTGGTCCTCATTTGTTCCAAACGAGCGGCAAAGGCACCAAATATCATTTAGGCTATGCGGTATGGTTTTAACATCAATTACTTTATGCTTATATGGCATCTCTTAACATATGTAATAATATGTGAAAACTGTTCTATTTTCATGTGGTGTTAAACCATTTTGCCATCTCTGCATTTTCCAACGCCAATTAAAAAACAATGAACTTTTTTTGCTCTTTTTACTTTTTTCAGTGGTGTGATGGTGTGGTGCACATTTCCTAGAAACAATGGAGTTGTGTAGAGAATGACACAACATATGATCATTCATACAAGTTATATGAAATATATTTGTAAATTTTTTTATTAGACAAATAGACCATTCTTTTCTAATGTTTTGTTAGGGTTTTGCAAATTTTTTAATTTGAAAACATTAGTTGTCCTAAAAAATAAAAAGATAAAAAAAAAATTAAAAATTCAACTGAATATTCAAAACGATGCTTATCTGCACAAGGGTGTTGCTTTCATTGATAATTCTTAATTGTGGAAAATATATGTTTTAGAATATATATATATATATCTATATATATATATATATATATATATATATATATATTATATATATATCTATATATATATATATATATAAAGAAAAAAAGAAAAGTTCAATAGAGAACCATAATTATTGGTTCTCCAAGGAACAAATTTTTTTTTTTTAAAGTTTTAGAGCTTATTGTTTATCGAAAAAAAAATCAAAACTTTCTATATATAATAACTTCACATTGTGAATGCTAATAAATAAATTATATATTTTTCGAGTTCACCGTGTAAATTCAGATTCACACTGTGAATCTGCACAGATTCATACTGTGAATTTGACGATTTTTTTTATTGAATTTGATATCATTGGAAAAGGATAAAAAATTATGAATTTCTATATTTTTAGTTTTTTTTTACAAAAAAACAAGCTCTAAATGTTGAGAAAAAGATTGGTTCCTTGGTTAATTATGGTTCTCTATTGAACCTCACCCTATATATATATAGATATATATATATATATATATATATATATATATATATATATATATATATAGAAAAGAGTTTTCTCTAACAAAACTCTCCAATAAGTTACTAAAGTTCGTTATTTTAATCATTTTATAGTTATTTTCTATTTTAGACCTTACGTTTAATAGTAAATTACACCCTACTAATAATTAAATATTTACATTTTAGTTAGAATTTCATATATATCCTTATTAAACATAAAAAAAAATCATATTTGCCGCAATTAATTTCTGAATATCATATTTATCCCTTATAAAATTATAAAATATCATATGCTTCTTTAACATCAAGATGTCATATATGTCTTTTAAATACTAAAATATAGTATATGCCCTTTTCAAAATCAAAATATTATTGTCAATATCTAAAATATCCTCCATCTACGTGATAACAATATTCAACAACAACAA